GGCTTCACACGCAGGCGCAGGCATGTGAGCATTTTCTGTCCAATATAAATTTCCGATTGGACAGCCGGACAAGCGTTACAGATGCTGGTGTTTCCAATATGCGCGCAAGTGCGTTGCAGAAAGGTACTAATCATGTTCGAATTGTAGGATAGATTCAAACAAATCGGTCACATTTTACTTTGGAATATTCTGCTCTTTGTGTGAAATTACGTGGGTTGCAGGTCTACAGCGGAACAAATGGCAAGTCGTTCATTTCATATTTTAACTATTTACGGTTTTATTATTATTTTTCGATAATCCCACCGAACTCCCCAACGGGACTTTTAAAGAAGTCATCTTAACCGTATAAATTCATTGTTCATTGGGATCCAAGCACTGTTTACGACTGACGAGTGTTAGTGATCGGCAGGGAACCAGTCTATCTCTAACCGCTTCATCACTCCCATACGGTTCAGAGGGTAAGGAGGCCAAATATTCCTCCTTTTTATACAACCCCTTCACCACAGAATCTGTGAAGTAGATTTTATCTTTGCTTGCCCACAGTTCTCCTGGAAGCCATAATATCTGACCAGGGGCAGCCGGTGACCTAGCAGAATCAATGGGCATATGCCACCAGCGTTGCCTGGAGGAGAACAAAAATCCACTAATAGGGAAGTGAGGCATCATTACTTGGCTAATCTGACTATCAGGGGACCGGAAGACCACAAGTGGTTCCAGCGTAATCCTGAAACGGCTTCAATCTGGTCAGTTCAAAATATCCTATCATTCAATGTAGAAAAATTTTAAATTCTTCAACTAGGCCATATGCATAGGCTTGGGACACACAGGTTGCAGACCAGTTCCCAGGAACGTGATCTTGATGTGCCCATACAGGAGGACCTCAACTATTCAAAACAGTCTGAGGCAGCTGCGAAAATAGGCAACCAGCGCGTCGGCTTGCTGAGAAGCGCATTCGGGAGAGTTGCCCCATCCATGTTCCTGACGACGCACAACTCTTACGTGCGCTCGCACGTAGAAAACGCTAGCCAAGCTTGGCGACCATGGTTGAAACGCGACCTCGAGGTGCTATGGACACCAAAACAGAAGGTAACAAAGAACGTAAAGGTCCACGCAAAGTCACTTACTAGTAAAGGGTGACCTTACTAGTTTTCAGTGGACACTACCGATGGCTACATTAATAGGTACCAAATATTGGGTGACTCTAATACCGTATGCCACCAGTTACTGAAACTCAGCCACTACACTAAGCTCAAAGGTAACTACATGAAATTGAGTGAACAATACAGACAACTAGAGTGTCGACCGAAGTACTTTTCTTTTCGGGTTTGCCAACCTCGAAACGCTCACAAACTCAGTCGTCGCCTGCCCATTTTCGACTAACACTTGTCGGTATTGACTGGTTGGATAAGTTCAAATTTTCGAGTATCCCTTTGAGCAAAGAGTGTAAACTGACACTGGGTATCAACGCTTCTCCCCTAAGTATTGATCCAGTGCTCCAGCATACTATATCACAGCGTTTATTTCAACGATACTCCGTAGCTTTTCAGGAAGGCCTTGGATTTTGTACCAAAAATGAAGGCTCAGTTACAGCTGACAATGGATGCCAAATCCATTCGCATCCAACTTCACATGGGTCATTAGAGGATCACTCGAACCGAAGCACTGGCCAGAGGTTACGTCTCTTGGCCTAACATTGATGACGAAATCGCGCATCTGTGAAAACCATGTGAACATTGTGCAATGGCGCCTAGAGCACTTAACGTACGCTCCCTCTACCGTGGCCTGAGGCAACGAAACGCTGGTGCCACGTGCGCATAGATTTCGCTGGGCCTGTTGTGAACACGTCATATCTTATTGTGGTCATCGCTCACTCAGAGTGGCCAGAGGTCATTACAATGTTTAACACAACCACAACAGCCACTATTTAACAGTCGCTCTGAGTGTTCAGTCGTTTCGGTATACCAGACATTAGTACTAGACAATGGGCCACACTTTACCTCGGGGGAATTCGAAACTTTTGTCACCTCAATGGTATCAAGTATGTGCGATCGCCACCTTACCACCTCCCAGTCGAACGGCCAGGTTGAGCGATTTGTCGATATGTTCACACGAGCATTGATCAAAGCTTGGGGGGACGGGCCAACGTACGATACCATATAGACATTTCTCATGGTGTATCACATCACCCCACATCAAGCGCGTAACGGGAAATCACCATCACAGATGTTGCTGGCCGACAAATCAGATCTGTTTGGGAAACAATCAAGCCTGAGCGAAAACAGTGGTCAGACCGGACAAATACAGACTTGTCTCAACATCAGCAGCAGGGGGCCGTGAGAAATGTTAAAGCCAGTGACCTAGTGTGGGCCAGCGATTATCGGCAGCACAAAAGCTAGTTACAATCAAATTGTCAGTCACCTACCTAATGGAGGTCGAAGGGGAAACCTTTCTCCGTCACCAACAGGGGCAAGCACCTAACGGACCGTAATACAAAGCTAGATTTCCAGCTACTGCTAGAGGAGTTTCCGCTGCTGGGACCAACAGATGGAGATTCGAGACGAGTCGTGCATGCAGGCGAATAGGTTTTTTCAGCTTTGGATATGCTTCGCAGAGAGCCAAAACGGAAGCGCCGACCACCGGACCGGAGGCCCCAGGACACGTCAAGAAAATAAGGCGTCGTATACGGAAGTCCAACCCACATGGTGCATCTGTCCCTCGATCCCAACGATTGATCATCTCTAACCAGACAGTGACAAAGACTAACTAATCACCGGTGAGTCATCGCCATAGAACCCAATAACCTAACACTGAGCATACAACAGCTTGCTTTGCTTAGCGATCCCGTTGTTTCTATACTACCGGTCCTATCCACACTCTAGTATTCTATCCACTTACTGCGAGGAGTCCAGGTTATACATGCTTGGATTTTGCCGTTAGATCCCAGCACTTGGTCACCTAAACCGAGCAACTATGGAAGATGTTCATCATGCCCTCATACCGGGTTTATTTACCACATGGATGCAAGGAAGCGGTACATGAGTGAGCGTTCTTAAGCTTTTTTTCACGGATGTCAACTATAATTTGCTCCAAGTTGTTGCGCATCCTTGCATTCCAGTTTCATTCTACAGTATCATTATTCAGCAACGAATACAAAAATCGGTAGACGCTTAAACGGGTGACTCACAACTCTTAAGATTTTGTAGTTTTCATCCTACACATGTTAAGGAACTGTCAAGTACCTACTATATTACCCGCGATACATCATTGTTCATTGCACTGAAAAAGTACTTTAAAGAACTCTGCAGTTCAGGAACTCAGTTAGGTCGATGTAGACAGAGTCCGAAAGTAAACTCATGTGGACATTCGCACCGGAACAGCCAGACGATTGTTCGTCACGACTCGTAGCGAAATCGGCTCGAGGCGACAAATTCTCTTCAAATGTTTGCCCAACCTCGTGCGACAAATTGAGGCTGCGGACCGTTGCAAGAAAGGCTCACTATGCTCTGTGGGTTTTAACGTCTCCTCATGTCTACTTCTACAAAGTCTACACCAAAACTACTCGCCGATGTTAACCACGCCTTCATAACGCTTTCTTCCTATGCGTATCTACTTCCGTCACTAGATGAAAGCATACCGGCCTCAGTCCTTCAGGCATCTCTAATCTAGCACTTTTTTATGGGGACAATAACCTAGTTACTAAAGAACTAATTGGAAAACTAAATCCTTGATTTTGTTTGTTCTATTGCATCTACTTGTAATAAGCTTACTTCACTACCACTGCTTAGGATGCGTGCATTGCTGTTGAATATTCGTCCGTCTCCGGGTGTGTAAAGTGCATCAAGTTTGTTTCTACTCAGTCTGTTACCACAACAAGCTTTAGAATTGGAGCTCGGTATTCTGCGTTTAGGTGAATAAAGTTATGTTAAGCCGAAACTCGGAAACTCCTCAAGCATCTTGCTTGAGAAAAGATCCCCGAGGAAATCAAGGCATGGGCTCCGCTTAGGATACGAAGTTGTCTCTTAGCGATACGCATTCATGGACCTGTCAAGGGATGGGGTGTAATCCAGCGGGGCTGGTGGTAGTTACCAGCCTTGAACGACTTATGAAAAAGGTTTCTGCCGACGGAGTCTGCGATGTACACCACTGACGAGTCTTTTTAGGACGAAACGGTCCTCTGATACTTTTCCGGATTGGTTGTAAAGCTGTTGCAAGCTGTTGCAATGATCCCGGAAGTTCGAATTAGTTGATTATGACAAGCTACAACATGCCTCATACGCTGAGTTACTTGCTAAGCAGGTGCATCATGAAGTAAACAGCTGACTATGTGACATGATTTAAGAGGTTCCAAAATCAGTGATGGATATTGCACTTTGATTAACGCCTTAAAGATGAAGCAGAGGAGCCGACAAATTGTCCGTTTTGTGGCGTTATAATAAACGGATGATGATATGACGGTTCGCTGGGACAAATGTACTCCTTACAGCAAACATTAATGGCAGTCATTATGGGTTACCATGTATGTTCGAGCTTTACTTGCACTCGATTTCCGGTGTTAATTTGGATGCATGTGTGCCCACAGACCAGTTGAATTCTTCATTTGACCACAAGGACCAAAATACCGACGCGAACGATCTTTTCACCAAGCTTCTCTTACCTGACCACCACAGTCACGTAGTGTCACTGTTAAAACTGTTACAGGCATATACCCTTATACTGGGCTGTGTAGGCCACTATATTTGCCTCTACACCACTGATACTAGCACCCTGGTCCATTTTCGACTGATCGTTTAATCCCCTTGTCCCATTGCCCGCAACTTTCATTTTCACGGCGACATGTTGTAGCTCAACTGGTGCCATCGCAATTCGGCACGTGGGGTACAGTGAACAAACTTATCTAAACTCACAATATTTAAGATGAAAATGTTGCTCCGCTCATGAGGTCTCAATCATACTATGCCACCTAACAGGTGCTGATGAGCATGAAACAAATGATTACTCACCCATAGCCAGCATCATCAGTGTTTGCAGCATAGTAAATGGGGCACGTCTGTTCATGTTTCAGAGGTACATCGTGTCAGACCGTACAGTGGCATCGTTATCTACCTCAACTTGCAGACCGAATACCGACCGACAAGTGCGCTCTCTCACGCGACAATCGATGTCCGCGTCCACGAATCTGATTGGGTGACACGGCCTGTGACTACCGATCGTACACTTGGCCGTTCAACGTGACGCGTCGCTGTAACCCAAGTATGCACGCGACTATCAGTGATAGTGTCCGATCGGTTTAGTCAGATGAGTGGCTAGTAAGGGTATTGTTCAACATATGAGAGAACTGGCTAGTACTGTCGGATTTCGAAGCGTCATATTTGTCGTGGATTGTGAAATCCAACCTCCAACAGGGGAGTTGCAACAAGGTGTGATGCTGAGAACATGTGACGTCAAAAATGGCCTATTTGTTAGAAGTTGCTGAGGTTTGCTACTCATTAATTAACCGTCCGGCTTGATGTTGTGTCGAAATCCAACTACTGTAATGTTCTCTGCTCTCTACCCGGAGTCTTAACCTCCGTTTGAAGTCACCATAGTTGGGATAGCATTGACCAGGTTCCTTTGCTTGAAAGTGGGTTGTAGGTTAAAAATACGTCTCGATCCGGATATCTGTGTCCTCCTAGCTTAGATACTTTGTTCTTGGCCTCCGATTAAGTTTTGTTTGAGTAGTATCTACGACGGCGCACTGTAACTAGTTACCTGCTCGCGCTGCCAACCGTATGGATTTACTGACACACTGAAAGGCCGTGTACAGACCTTCCCTTGATGCGTCCACTGAAGACCAGTAGACACCAGTTACTCCGAGATACCCAAAGCAAACCACTAACCATACCTTGTTCGCTAAACACTACATTTCATGTTTGTTTCTCAGCTGAGGCTAGTATTATCTGAGGAGTACTAGCAAGGGAAATCGGTGGTGAATTGCGTCGTCGAAGATTACTGATTTCGAATATGGTGCTAACACTTTCTACCCTTCGTGAGCTCTGTATGTGCATTAGGCGTTCGTATCTAAAAATGAACACGAATGCCTTACGGCAAAATAAATATTCGTTCTACTGTGTTTAAATCGCCACAATAAAAAGCTAAATTACCTTAGTAACTTCAAGAGCTTCATTGGTGCAGTTTTCACCCAGATAGAAACGAAAACTTAGTCTGTGTTGGGGATTATCTATAGGATTAACAGCAACTATTTACGATTCTCTACCATATCGGCTACGCCTTGGAGATTAGCATTGTTAAACTCCGCTGGCCGCCTGAACCCACTCCGGTAATGCAAGAGTTGTACAGTATTCACTTCTACTTGTTCTATAATAGAGTATTCAGTATTCAGTAAGCAACCAGAGCAGCAAGGAAGACTACGCCTTTTTGATAGCAATAACGCAAGTTGCAGAATTCAAACTGCTAAAAGATACATCGCCGGGAAAGTAAGTTAGAATATGCGAAACACAGAACTGATAAAGTTTCCAGGCTAAGCGTATGTCAGAAGTTGCCAGGCAGCGAGGTAAAGTTTAGGAAAAAATGGCGATTCATTTTCATAGCGAATGATTCCTAATTGGCCACCAGCATGCTAAAATGGCGCCATAAAACAAACGTCAAGGAATAAAACCAGTAACGTAAATTTCGAAACTACGAAAGATCAGATACAATATGCTTGAATCTGCAGTTCTTCTAGCAATTCACCGTCTATGGAATGACGCAATGACACACACACACACACACACCGTACCACAACGGCGGCACGCAGTAACGGAGATAGTAAATGTGGCTCTGTTCTATTTTTATCAGACTAGACTTGTTCGCACAGAATACACTCAGAGGCTGTCTAACACCGATCATCAATACCTTTTAAGCATTATTGGTTTTTAATGACAAGATTCTGTTTGTATTAATGGCCCACGTTAGACAGACCCTACAGACTAGAGCGTTGTATGATTTCTTGTACGGACTTCCGTACTTTAGACATGTGCTTCAAATCTTCTCTCAATGGTTGCTTCGCTGTGTCTTCCGTGAATGCGCTGAAGGGGCCCAGATGAGAAGGCAAGAAAGCCAACACGAGTATCATTGAGCCCGGTCGCACGGCGGCACAGCCGTATACTATCTGCGCACTCGCTTCACTCGTAGTAAGAGTTCAAATTCTCGACACACACTTTTGCGTACGCTCATTCGAACTAGTTCAACGAGCGCTACTCAGTAATTACCATCTCGTGAAACTGCTTTTAAAAACACGTTAGTTAGAGGTGGGAAACACTTCAGCTACTGTGTCGCAATATATAAAAGAAAAAAGGGAAAAACGCAACAGGTGCAAGGCAGTTGAGCTACCGGTAACAGGTGGGCATCGTTCCGGTAAGCTACCGGCCAACTAATATGCAGCAAAAAAATATAATATAGAAAATTATATATATAGTAGTGAGATGGTGGTTGGTGGAGGAGGCTAAGGGGGATGGGAATGGACAAAGAAACTCACAGCACGAACGCCAATGAGGTCCGCTCCTAGCCATATAAGCAAGTGTATCCAGTCAAACGTGTTCATCGTCTTTCGGACCCCAACCAGGGATCTGATACGCTCCAACCGAGACCAGTTTCGAAATGAGGGCCACCATTCCTCTCTATCAAGTCATGGTTTGGCCACTTCACCTCTTCTTCCATCCACACCCCCGGCGCGCAAACAACGCACGTCGCTGGAGTCGGTGGGCTGGCATGCGTAACACGTGGCCGAGCCATCGTAGGCTGGTGCGTAAAATAACGGTGCTGAGCGGTTCACTTCCTTTTTCTGTGCAGTAAACAAGGCATCGAACACGCTCGTTGCGCACTCGGTATTCGCATCAGATGTGAGTCAAATTGTGAATGCCCCGGTGGTCGAATGTAACTAGCCTCTTTATGTCCGTTGATCTAAGGGACCAGGTTTCACAACCGTACAGTAGGGTCGAACGTAACCTTTGGCCGTCCAGATGCAGTTCATCAGTGGATAATTTTCCAACTTGAGCTTTCAGATCCCCAGCCAGCACTACAGTGTCCAAGCTCTTCTGTAGCGAAGGAGTTCTTTCGGTTGGTGTTAGAAGTCGCCTTTTAGCGAGTCATTGCAAAAGTTTGTGGGCGCGTAGGCAGCGATGACGAATAGACACCTGTTAGTCCCGCACGACTTCGATGTTTTAAACGAGCCAGCTAATCGGACCGCACACATCCGGCTAAGGATTGGGATCCAAGCAATCAGACTAGCTTCAGCCCGGGGACTCAGGGCAATACCAACACCGGCTTGGCCCGTGCTCGAAACTGCGTCGGCACCACATATGCGGAATGAGAAACTACTGCTGGTGTCATCGGAAGGGGATCGCAAAGTGAGCACAGAGCTCGAGTCTTGTAGGCGGGTCTCCGATAAGCAGCAGATATCGATGCAGTGGGTCTCTAATGTTCGGGCAAGTGCTGCCTGTTGACCGATTTGTAGCAGTGTGCGTACACTGAGGCATTCCAATCTGAAGGAGAATCGATGGCTCCGATTAGAAGCCCATGAACTGGGGTGGGCCGTCTGGTTGAACATGGGATTGTCGACAGGACAGTGGTGACGCTCCACTCTGGCACGTGAGTTGCAACCAGAAGCTAAAGGCCTATCAAAGCAAGGTGGGGGAAGGACAAGACTTGGGGGTTAAAAACAGGGGGGATACAAGTGAAGCTGGAACGGGACGATAAGGGGGAAAAAGCGTAAGAAGGGGAATAAAAAGACGGGAAGACTTGAGAAGTAGCATCCAAACCCCATATCCACCCTGCTAGATGCACTAAACAGGACTCCTGAGCATCAAGAAATTGTTTGACGTAAGAGTCATGTTGTATTGCGTGGACAGGATACTATCAGTTTGCCCAGGTCTAGATAGGAGAACGATTAGGGTTCTCAAGCAAAGCCTTTGGTTCAGCACCTGACCGCAAGGCAGCGGGTTTGGCGTTGGGCTACAAGGAGTCTGTTTTAAGGAATAAGGAGCCACCCTCATTGTAACCCCAAACCTGGAGGACCAGGAGGCTGAGTTTGTCTGGCCTGTAACCATTGACCAATCTGGTACGAGTGACTCTGAAGATGCAAAACCGCACCACCCAGCATGGCTCAATGGATCGCCGAGACACGCACGCCATCGCACCACGATAAGATCCAGTCTCATTTCGGTGGTTCAGCCTGGTGAAACTAACTTGTGCGGATAATTTCTTGCTCCAGTTCACGGTCGTGGCACCATTTGTTAAAAACCGCGTTTAGTTACATCACTCTTACGCTGATTGGGAATAGTTTTGGTCTCATTCAGAAGAAAAAGGTGTTATAACACTCCATTTGCGGTACTGCTGCCTTCGGTCCTCTCTGCCTGGCGTCCAATCCAACTTCGGAAACCAGAAGTCAAGACTTGTTATACGGTGTGTATTCTGTATACTGGACGGTTATACGTATTAGTCATCCATTATCCTGCATCTACTTCGTTTTAGTCTCAACCAAGTTGGAGCGTCCTGCTGCCCCGGTTTGGCAATTTTGACGGTTTCTTCGCTTCAGCACACGCACTCGTTCACTCAGTCGACCTTTGATTGAGTCTGTCAGCCAGGCCCACCGGGCATGCACTCCGTAGTTGTCGGGTTTTCCAACTTGCAGCCCGTCTTAGCTATCGGCGGAGATTAGTGTCGTGACGCCGCGTAGAGGTATTCGTTTCGTTTGGTCGTCTAACAGTAGCTGATGACTCTTACCATCCTGCCACCATCACCGCAGCTGCAGCATAAAAAGGCTACTGGTCAGTTTGTTTTGTTTAATCATTGCTATGAAACTAGTACTTGTCCACACTCTGCGTGGTTTCGTCGCGTAACATGGTTGGCGGCATCCGGTTTCGGATTTGCCTGTCACTGTGGATAACCATAGGACGCCTGCGCCTACAGAGGGACCATGGGTGGGTGCGCTGCACCACCCAAAGCTCCAACCACACACACCCCATATCCAGTGTAAACCCGAAGGAATAAGACCGGGAGGCGTGTGGATGGGAGCCACGTTTCATCAACGGAGCCGGCCCACACTCCTTCACAGGCAAACACAAGCACGCTGTATTTGGGGAATCA